ATCATGTCCAGATCTTGCCTTGACCGGTTGGATCATGTCCAGTTCTTGCCTTGACTAGTTGAATCGTGTAAGATAAGACGGAAAGTGAATACTTTACGAGATATTTTGAATTTTTTCATATTGCAACTTTGGAGCTTTATGACTCGAAAAGTACTCAATGAAGAAACATTTCATTACAATGTTTTGGAAAGCTCTCGAGGTCAGCTACAAGAATATGTAATAAAAAATAGGGGATGCCGTTTAAAAAAATTGAGGTGACTTTCATGTCTTTCAAATAATTCTTCAAGGTCAAAGCAATGGTACCATCTTATGGGCCCCTCGAAACCAAACAACTTTTGTCTGAAAAATTTTTCTCTCCCGTGCTTGGTTTTCGACATATTCGACTGGATTGATTAAAATGGTCCACCCTGTATATACACACACATATATATATATATATATATATATATATATATATGTATATATAGATATATATATATATATATATGTATATATATATACATGTATATATATATATACATGTATATATACATGTATATATATACATATGTATATATATATATGTATATATATATATATATATATATATATATATATATATATATATATGTATATTTTTAAAGTGTTATCTTTTCCTCGCCTGCTAAATAGCGTTATTCTTTATGAAAATTTGAATCAGAAAATATGGAACGAAAATGTAGTTTACAAAACATAAGTGATCGAAGAAACAAGTTCCAAACTGTTTTTTGAACAATATATTGGCTAACATATCTATTTTCTTCGATTAATTTCAAGTGGATTTTATTGGAATAAATTTTTAATTTAAGACTTAGCTATAAAGATATGTTATATTAAATGTTGAAAAATTATCATAAATATGAATTTGTTTCGATAAAATGGCTTTTCCATTTAGTTTTCCATAAAGAATAACACAATGTTCTTAGTAGATGAGGGAAAGATAACACCATGTATTTACACACTATACACGCACACACATGCGCGCACGTGTATATGTTGTGCGGACACGTGTGCGGACGTGTGTATACGCGTACAAGTAAGTGTACTGTGTGTACACTTACATACACAGTCATATACTGGGTGTCCCAGATTCTTCTCCGCAATTTTTGTTGGAACCTAGGTTAGATTAAGGTGAACATAAACGTTCTATACTGTTTTACAATATTCGCAATAATGATCTAGATAGTAATTGTGGAAAAATAAGCAAAAAGCGTGTACTGAGTAGTAGGTAGAAGAGCGTTCGAGTCGTTCGAGTTATAGCCCGGCCCAGTAATATAGCATACACCTCATAGGAATGTCCATGGAATTCACGTGGAATCGATTTCTTTACGTGGATTGCACGTAGATTCAACGTGGATGTTCCCATGGGGCGGTTGCCGGCGCGCGGCGAAGGAAAGATTAACGCAACGAATAAAGCACAAGCAGCGGCGTTTCCACTAAAATGATAGAGGAGAGTTTGAGAAACGCATACATACGTATATATATATATATATATATATATATATATATATATATATATATATATATATATATA